ACACAGCCCCACACCCCCAGGAAATGACTTCCTGTCCCTTCTTTGCAACTCTGATCCTCCCCCCACACCTGAGACGGTCAGTAAACAGAAAGTGGGGAGCAATGGGCATGGTCCCCAGGCCACGCCCGGGCTCCATCCCAATGCCCGCCCCCTGCCTTTCCCTGGTTCCCCATTTCCCCAGGGACAGCAAACCAGGAGGGCGAGGGCCTGAGCAAGAATGGAGGCCTTCTCCCACTGCAGCTCTCATAGACCTGAAAGAAATAATTCAGCCTCTATATTTTGACTCAAAACAAAGAAACTTTTTAAAAACATTTCAGTTGAAACTTGCATAATTCTTCCAGTGGAGAAATCCTCCCTGACTTTCGCAATCCTTAGAAAGAGACACATTATTGCTGCTTGTGTAACAGTCTCCAGGCCACGAAGAGGCCCGCCGCCGGCCTCGGCCACCTCCCGCGGTCACCTCCCGCCAGACAGCCAGGGCTGGCCCCGGAAGCACCACCTCCCCCCACCCCCACCCCCGCCAGCTCCCCGCAGCCAGGGCTGTGGGGCGGGGCCGGTCACACTCCCCCCAGACTTCCTCCTGCTCCTGGCCTGTCTGCCCTCGCCCGACATCTCAGACACACATTACACAAACCGGCTGCAGGGAAGGCTGAGAAACCGAGACGCGGAGAGTCCATGACCCTACTCCCGAAGCCCTGTGCTGACTGGGGGACCCCGGTGAGGGAGCAGGAACAGAGGCGAAGGCCACCCAATGACCCTGCTGCCCCCGGCCAGCTGCCGCCCTGAGGAAACCCCAAGATGCTAGGGGCCTGGCCCAGCTCCAAAGAGGGGTCCTGGAAACTGGCAGGACGGCCGACAGAGGGGCAGAAAGACAGATGGGCAGGCAGCGCACACCTGGAGGGCCATCCAGACACGGCTCTGCACACGCAGCCAGGCAAGGCACCCGGCCAGCAGGGAGGCCCTCACTCTCTCTCGCACGGCCCACTACAGGGTGCGGGGAGAAACCAGAGGCCTTGTTCAAACTGTTGCATCCCCCATTTGAGAAGACTCTCCAACCTTCACTCTGGGGCCTTCACCCTGGCGAGCAGACCAACTTGCAGACCCCATCCTTCTGCATGGCTGGGGGCGGCGGGGGTGGGGGGGCGGCCCAAGGCCCGTCCAGGAACTTTGCCTCAGAGCATCACCTGAGACGGCAGCCCACTTTCTCAGCTAAACGTCTGGAATGAGAAAATCACCATGGAACCCCACAAAAGCCTACAGCAAAACAAGGGGACAAAGGGACAACCGACCCTCTAAATCTCTGCTGGCACAACAGATGGCATCAGGGTAAAGCCAGTCCCCCCATGAAAGAGAGGTCCCAGATGAAGCATGCAGGTCAGAGTCTGTGTCCAGCCTGATGGAACATTCTTGATAGCATTCCTTCCCAAGATAATTCCAGCTTAAAAGAGCAAACCACATCTCACTAGGGGACTGTCCACAGGCTGGAACCCCCCTTCCTGGCCTGCGGACTTAAAAGCTGCAGTCACTCCCCAACAGGCGCCACAAGGGTCCATGCCCCCAGTGCTGCCGGCCAGGTCTCTGCTTTGAGAAAACACTGCCCTGTGACCAGGGAAAAGTTTCAGGTGACATGAGGAAAACTGTTCCAATGTCAGGAATTCAGACGAATCCAGTCGTGGGCACTCACGCCACAGCGGGCCCCTGGAGCAAAATGACCCACACAACAAGCCCCCTCTGAGAACTTGGGTGTCTGAAAGACAGGGGCACGATAAACAAACCCAGGCCAAGTTCTCCAACCCGAGAATCGGGACACCCCGCAGAACAAAAAGTCCCAAGGAGCCCATTTCTGGAGCTCGGGCCCCGGGGAGGCAGAGCACCGCCCTGTGGTCGGCCCAAAAGGGAAACACCTGGTGACCCAGCGAGGAGCCGTCCTGCGGGGCGAGGAGCCAGGCCCCAAGCAGCAGCCAAGCCAGCAGCACAGATGTCCCCCTCTGCCGGCAATCTACACGGCTGGACAACTGGCCCAATTTAGTCCAAATACCATGAGACAAGCCCAAGAGGAAGGAACAGAGCCAAGTGAGCAGAAGAGCAGAGAAGGCTCCGAGTCCCCATCTCCTGGCCACGTGTTCCCCCAGCAACAAAATGACACATCCCCACCCCACCTGACACTGGACACCTCAACACCCTCAAGAAATAAAACGTCACCATCACACCGCTTTACTACAGTCCCCATTTCACACACGAGGAAACGCAGACACAGAGAGATTAAGCAACTGGCTCGAGGTCACACAGCCAGTAGAGACGTAACGAGGCTACGGGAGCAGCCCCATGGGGTTCCACAGCTGGACTGGCCCACTGCAAGACAGCAAGGACAGCAGCTTGGGGGGGAAGGGGCTCAGAGGTGGCTCCCCAGCACCCCGGAGGCCCCTCCTGGCACAGGTGGCAGCAGAGTGCTGACCGGTCTCTGGCTGGCAGGAGACTGGGGCAGCACCAGCCCCACAGCCTACAATGTGCTCCAGCTCCCGTGGCCTCACCAAAACCCAAGGCCCCAGGGGAGCCGTGGCCCCTACACAGAGGATTCTAGCACATTCTTTGTTCCCTGCTGTCCTCATCCTTGGTAAATCAAAAACATTAAACTAACCTATCAAACAACTGAAAAAATTCAAGATCTATTTCATGAATAAGCTGTCAGAGGCAAGTGGAAGGAGAAATGAGAGATAGGCAGGGCTGGGGGGGGATTAAGGGGGGGGGTCTTCCCAGGCAGCTCCGTCCGGAGCAAGTGGGCTCTGTGCAGCTGGGGATCCCCTCCCACCCTGAGCTGATACCTGCCTCACGGGGTGCCCTCGGCATGTAGACAGACGAGCACATGGCTGTGCTAGGAGATTTAAAGAGGACGATGCACCCCAGGACTCCCAACCGCACGGTCACAGAGCCAAGGAAGCAGGCAGAGCCCAAGAACAGGACAAGCAGAAAAAGCTGGCAAGAGAAGCGCCCCACGAGGTGGCAGAGCCAGCAGGAGAGCACTCGAGAGCTCAAGGAAGCCCAGGGCCGGGCGCCCAGGCCAGGTCACCACCACGAGGACGGGCTGGCTGACACTCGGGCCTGGAGACCCCACCCACTTACGATGAGCAGCTCTTCCTCGTCACAGGGGAAATTTTTGTTTCATCAGTCAATGAAATTTAAGGCAGCATCAGGGAAGGCGCTGAAGGAGAAAGGGCGGCTCTGATCATCTGCTGAAAAGGCCGGAGCAGAAACAGGCTCTGGCCTCTGCTTCCCGGACTGCAGGGACCAGTCCTGCTTCTCCCCAGGCAGTGCTTGGGCCTGAGTGCTCAGGCTGGGCCTTCCCTGAGCTGGAGGACGGCCGCGCCCACAACCACGGCGCCTGCTCCGAGAGAAGCCGGGCCCCGGTCTACGGCTGTGACAAAGGGCCAGCCCCCACCACACACCCCTCACGCCCAACTCAGACACCGACACAGACACGCCCTGCCACACAAGGTCCTCTGCCACCCGTGCTAGAGATAAGTGGCCTGCCACAGCTCAGCCACCAGCTGCAGGCCACAGTGACCGTGGAAGGTACGGGCACCCCAAACAGAAAAGCCCCTGGTTCCCTTAGGGTGCCCATCACGCCACCCATCACCAAATCATCTGAAATCAAAGGCTTGGGCCTTTCCCGCCAGCATCCTCCCCTACTCAGACCATCCCTCCGGCCCAGCCCCTGCCCCACAGTCTACAGACAGCTTGCCGCCTGGGCAGCGACATAGCTGAGGGCAGAAATGCTGCCGAAAGCACGTGCACGCGCACACACAGCAGCCCCTCCGAGCACAGGCAACAGGCCCCTACGCCCCCAGCCCCTCCTCTGCTCACCGAGACTCTGACACTCCGCTGGAGGGGCGCCCGGATAAAACCGGGCGGGAGCATCTATTCACAGATTTAGAAAAAAAAGTTTGATGCAGTAGCTGAATTAATTAGGGCTCCTCAGAATAGCTGGGCCAATGCAGCATTCTGTGCATGCAATTTAATAAGCCTGGATATTTAAAAGAAAAGTTACAAATACTTGGGGAGGGGAAGACACCATGAAAAGTTGGTGAGGACCCCAGTGAATGGTCTCAGGGTCCAGTGGCCTGGGAGCCACCCAGCCAGCTACCCAGCACGATCACACACATCCTCCGCCTGGCAAACAACAGAGCCTGGGCCAGCGGCCCTCCTCCGCCCGGCAGCATTTCAGAGAGACGAAGACAAGGAAACGGGCGTGTCCAAAACAAATCGCAGGCCATGAACTACTCCTACTCAGGGCCCCAGGTGCCCGCTGACCAGGCCCCAAGCCCAGGGCCAAGCGGCCGTTGCCCCCACCCTGGGGGGACTCTGGGATTCACACCCTGGCAGGCGCAGGGAAACACACAGAGCTGGAGTCGCCGAGTCTCGGCCCCCTGCCACCGTGGCCTGGACACCTGACTTCGTTTTTGAGTCTGTCTCCCAAGACTTCAAGGCACAAACAGGCCCCACCGGTTCCAGTTCTGTCTGCTGAAGACCACTGGCAGGAACCCCTCTGTCGGGGGAGGGGGGGGCTTGGTCTGCACACCTCCTCACGGCCCCGAGGAAGGCCCAGGCCTGAGGCTGCAGCCTGAGCCCAACCCAGACCTAACTTCCCAGGACTGGGAGCAAGACTGAGTGCTGAAGCCTGCCCTTCCCCGCCCATCAGGGCAATGGCTGTGGACATGAGGAAGGCTTCTCCACCCACCAAGCCAGCACCCCACCACCACCACTGGGGCCACCCATGCAAAGCAAGCGGGCTCATCATAAGGGTCGAGCCAGAGAATCTTCCTACACTGTCGATGGGGATGACGATGCTACCCTGAATTTCCTTGAAATAAATCCAAATACTGACACAAGCCGCAAACTGCACAGACAGAGCCCATGGCCCAGGAGGGCCCCCCCAGCTTCCAGGCCCTGGGGTCCAGCACACCCAGTGTCCTCCCACTCCCAGAGCCAACGGGGACACTCACCCGGGGCACCCGCCGCTTGTACTTGTTGCCATAGTCAAACTTCTCCTTCACGTCGTCCAGGCAGCGGCCAAGGCGCGCCTGTTCCTCCTTGCCTGTGTAGTCCTGGCTCAGCAGGATGTAGGCCCGCCAGTTGGCCGAGTCGAAGCCCCAGTGGCAGGTCCGGTTCTCCAGCGCCTTGTGTGAGTGCACCACGAACTTGTGCGGGGGATACATGAGGCGGCAGTCGAGGCACTGGATGCAGGCGGCACTCGGGCTGCTGTAGAGCTCGGGCACCAGCAGCCCCTTGCACTTGCCGAAGCACTCGTGGTACACACGCACGCTGCGCTCGCTGAGCTCCAGGCCCAGCGCCAGACTGGCGGCCAACTCCTTCTTGCAGGGCGGCGGGTAGGCGCCGCCGTACAGCAGCGCGTTGCACAGGCGCTCGGCGTCCGTCTTGGTGATGAGCCCGCACGAGGGCGCCGAGAAGGGCAGGATGCCCATGACTTTGAGGATCTCCAGCTGGTCCGCCGTGCAGCGCGAGCAATAGATGTGCAGCTCGTCGCACACCGAGTTGATCTGCTGCAGCGAGAAGTCGCGCAGCACCGAGTTGAGGATCTGCGGCAGGCACAGGCGCTTTTCGCCGCCCACCACGAAGCACGAGATGGTCTCGCCCTCCAGCACGGTCTCGCAGCGTTCGGTGGAACGGTCGGACGGCATGAAGAAGGGCCCGGGGAGCACGGGCGGCGGCGGCTGGATAGCTGGCAGGTGCAGCACGGGCGGCGGCTCCGCGGCCGCGGGCACCGGCGCCGGCACGGCAGCCGCGCTTGCCTCCTTGGCGCTCTCCTTCTTGTAGGCCTCCTGCGCCCAGCGCGCCGAGAAGGCGGCCGGGCCGCCCAGCGAGCTCATAGAGCTCAGGTGGAACTGCTCCAGCGTCTTCTGCAGCCCCGGGTGCGGCTG